GGCTGAGGGTGAGGCTGAGGCAGGCTGAGGCCGAGGCTGAAGGCAGACTGATGTTGAGGCTGAAGCGGGCTGAGGGCGAGGCTGAGGCAGGCTGAGGCTGAGGCAGGCTGAGGCTGAGGCTGAGGCAGGCTGAGGCTGAGGCTGTGACTGCGACTGCTGTTGCCACTGCGACTGCCATCGCGAATGCGACCACGACTGCGAGAACAGCAGAATTCTACAACAGGATTCTTATCTGAATCTTAAGGGGAATGCTTCCAGATATGCTCCTACACATCGCTGTTAGGTTGCTTTGCCGGGATAATGTCATACAATATCTGCCTGTAGGGGGACATGCCCGACCGGAACCTTGCATTTTTCTTCTTGCCCAGCTTCTGCCTGCGCTTGCGTGCCGTTTTTGTTGTTGGCCTCAGTGCCTCAAGTGGGTTTCCATGCCAGGCCGCTCTTTGTTGTTTCACCATCTTCACGCTGCGATTCCAGTCGACCGATGTTTGTCGAACGTAAACAAGACGCCTCGTCGGAGCTCATACGTAGCGCATGAAGCACCCACCACTTCTTGCGGGGGCGGCATGGAAGCCCCACGCCAAGGGCCTCGGCCGAAGCCATCTTCCCGCACCTATTGAACCATTGTGCCGGCAGGCATCTCAGAGGCAAGTGTCCGCGAGAATTGAAGGGCATGCGTAGTTGAGGCGGGAGGAGGCTGCAAGGACTTTCAGAAGGGTGGGGTTGATACACCCATCAGATATCTGAAGAATACGAGTCAACTTTCGTGGACTCCTGATTTCGTTCAAGAATATCATGAACTTTGACTGGAATCTGGACTGGACCCTGGACTTTCTCTTGGATGCCCTTGATCGTAGAGCTGTCGTATCTATCTGGACTGCTGTTTCTAAGAGGACGCTTGAAGTGAAAGCCACTCTCTTAACTCTCAGCAGGGGTGCAGTGCGGTAAGCCCTCCTTGGAGCCAGGGCCAACTCGCCTTAGGCACGTGTGGCGCTGCAAGAAGGGTTTTGCTTTCCAGGGTCGATGGAGTTGCCATCTCTTCCTCGGCGGGAGGCGGCGGAAGGGCGGCGGAAGGTCGGCAGAAGTAAAACGAGGCCGCCTCCGCCGGCGGAAGGTCGGCTGAAGCCGGCAGAAGTAAACAGTTGTCCTCCAAGAGATGACAATATTTTTGGGATCAGGGTTTCGGGAGCCCCTTACGTAGAGCACCTCCACCCACGCTCTTCCGACCACCAGGTGACGTTTTGAGGCTCTGGCGGAGGAGGTCGGGGCCTCCTCTCCGCAGCTAGTTGGAAGATTTCCCCGCGTCCTCTGGAAGCGAGGTCCACGCGGAGAGGACCTTAGTTACCCATACCCCCAGTAAGTTTCGAATAAGCATTGAGGGCACTACTAATGGTCTCACTCGCGTGGGGCAACCGTGGCATAGTGGTCGGCCAGGCGTTTGCTTTGAAAGCATTGGGCATCAAGCGCGCCAGCTGCCTGAGGGTACTCACGACATGCCTTTGCATAGGCCAATTCGAGGGACCTGTCATAACCAGTAAGCTTACAACTGGCACGCCAAAAGCGCCCCTGAGGGCTCCTCGGGCCGTATTACCCCCCATGGGCCCCAAACAGTGCCTTGCAGTCCGCATGGAGGCTCTAGGAAGCCAACGTGTCCTCACTGAAGGCGGTTGCAGTTACGGCCCCCGCGTGCTCCGCCGAAACAGCCGTCTTGTCCAGAGTCCCGGGCCCAGCATACGCGGCCCTACAAAACTCCCCTTCAGGCGAGACATGGACCGCTAACGTCGTCGTCAAGGCGCAGCAGTAACGGTGATTCGTGGCTCTGAAGCCCAAGGAATGGTGTTCTGGCGCAGCTCAGGAGTTACAAACGGTTGGTTTCGCACGGGGCCTCTAAAGAGGGAGCTTGGAGGGAGTGTTCATTGCAATCTTGTGTATGGGTCTTGGGTTTACACTGGTACTTCCTCCTCCGCATCCACCTCCTCGGTCAACGGTAAGCTGTTCGACTGAACCTGCAGGGTGGTGCCCTTTCCTTCACCGAGGACAAAAGATTTCCCAGCCCTGATAGCATAGTGAAGACGTGGTCTCGCTTAGGCCCCCGTGCTTGCATTCGGGATCACACTTCCAGGCGGCCTGCCTTGATGCACACCTGCAGCAAGGACCGCCAAGCTCCATAATGCTGTTCGGCCTCTCTTAACTCTGGTCCGCCCCCACAGGGTCAGGGGCCTGGTAACTGCTAACCCTTTTCCTTTTCGAGTGCGCTTGGGCCCAGACTCGGTCCGTGGCGACCCCAGCGAGGTCCTGGAGCTCGACGGGGCATCGCTTGAGGGACCAGGGCTGGGAGTTAGAGAGCGCCCTCCTCTGCAGGACCACGACAAAGAGCGGACGTCAAGGGGCGCATCAGGGGGGGGGGCGTCAAGGGGGAGGAGGAGGAGGAGGAGGAGGAGGGGGAGGAGGAGGGGAGGAGGAGGAGGAGCGAGGCAGGAGGAGGAGGAGGAGGAGGAGGAGGATGGAGGAGGAGGGAGGAGGAGGAGGAGAGGAGGAGGAGGAGGGGATGAATCAGCATCAACGGCACCTGGCCCTGCGCCCAGCCTCGCTCCTCGGCGGCCGCTCGGCTGGCCGCCCCCTGGCGCGCGCCGGCGGGCTCCCCGGCCACGGGGAGTCCCGGGCGCTCCTCCTCCCTGCGCGGGCGGCGCGCTCGGGATGCCCCGCGGGCGCTGCCTCTCGGGCCGGGGGGGAGGGGGGGGGTGGGGAAGGGGGGGGGTTACGAAATTAGCTGCATGCAGCTGGTTTCGGCCCCACCGAGGGGCCCGCCCCTCGAGACATCGCCGCCTCCCGGCGCCGGGAGGCGCCGGGGAAAATCAGCTAATTACGTGAGCTGATTCTCAAACCCCCCTTTGCTATCCCCCCCTTTCGCCCGACCCGAGCCTCGTGGCGCCGCGGGTCCATGCCCGAACGCGCACCTTCGCCGCGCAAACGCACCAACACTGTGCGCGCGCCGCCCCTGGAAGGGGCGACGCGCGCGCCGAGGGCTCTTTGGGTATCCGCTCCGTGGTGGGCGTGTTCTGGCCATATCTCGCCCAGGAAGCGGTAGACTACCAGACGGATGCACCACATGGTCGGGTCGGGCGCGCGCCTCCGAGGAGGCCACGCGGTGCCAATAATTAACACACATTTCTGCGTCCCGACGCAGCCCCGGACAGCCGCCGACGCCGCGTTCTCAATCTGCGGCCGCAGAGGCCCCGACCCCTTCCCCGGGGCTGGCTTCTCGTCCCGGGTCCACTTTTTGAGGGCCCCCGGGCCCGATCACGGGCCCTGGAGGCCGACATCCAGGCGAAACGGCCGGATTGAGAAAACCATATCCTTGGATCTCTGGGGAGGTGGAGGAGGAGGAGGAGGAGGATGCTGCTGCTGCTGTTGCTGCTGCTGCTGCTGATGATGATGATGATGATGGTGATGATGGTGATGATGATGATGATGATGACGATGATGATGCTGATCATGATGATGATGATGATGATGATGATGCTGATGATGATGAGATGATGATGATGCTGACGATGATGATGAAGATGATGCTGCTGTTGATATTGATGGTGATGATGGTGATGATGATACTGATGATACTGCTGTTGATGATGCTGATGATGATACTGAAGCTGGTGCTGCTGATGATGTTGATGCTGCTACTGATGATGATGATGTTGCTGCTGCTGATGATGATGATGGGCATGATGATCATGATGATGATGATGATGATGAAGACTATGCTGATGATGATGATGATGAGGAGGATGATGATGCTGATGCTGATGCTGATGCTGATGCTGATGCTGATGCTGATGAGGATGATGATGATGCGGATGCTGATGCTGATGCTGATGATGATGATGCTGCTGCTGATGGTTATGATGATGCTGCTGATGCTGATGCTGATGCTGATGCTGATGATGATATGATGAGATGATGATGTATGAGATGATGATGATGATGATGATGATGATGATGATGATGATGAGGATGATGATGATGATGATGTTGAAAAGGTGATGATGATGATGATGATGATTGATGATGATGATGATGATGATGGATGAGATGATGATGATTGATGATGATGATGAGGAGGAGGAGGAGGAGGAGGAGAGGAGGAGGAGGCGGAGACGAGGAGGAGGACGAGGAGGATGGAGGAAGAAGGAGGAGGAGGAGGAGGAGGAGGAGGAGGAGAGAGGAAGAAGATGAGGATGAGCAGGAGGAGGAGGAGGAGGAGGCGGAGGAGGAGGAGGAGGAGGAGAGGAGGAGGAGGAGGAGGAGGAGGAGGAGGAGTGAGGGGCGCCCGGGAAGTAGAGCAGAATAAAGGCAAAGGAAAGATTAGGGGGAGGGGAGGGAGTAAAAGGGAGGGGGGTAGTAGGGGCTAGAAAAAGAGGGAACAGGAAAGAGGGTGGGGGGAGGTAGCAGGGGGAGGGGGTGGGGGACGGGGAGGGGGAGGGGGAGGGGTAGGAGAGGGGGAGGGGAGGAGGAGGAGGATGAGGAGGAGGAGGGAGGAGGAGGAGGAGGAGGAGGAGGAGGAGGAGGAGGAGGAGAGGAGGAGGTTGAGGAGAAGAGGAGGAGGAGGAGGAGGAGGAGGAGGAGGAGGAGGAGGAGGAGGAGAACGAGGAGGAGGGAGGAGGAGGAGAAGGAGGAGGAGGAGGAGGAGGAGGAGAGGAGGAGGAGGAGAGTGAAGAAGATGAGGGATGAGCAGGAGAGGAGGAGGAGGAGGAGGAGGAGGAGAGGAGGAGGAGGAGGAGGAGGAGGAGGAGGCGGGGGGAGGGGAGGGGGAGGGGTGGGGGGAGGGGGAGGGGGAGGGGGAGTGGAGAGGAGGAGGGGGGGAGGAGGAGGATGTTGAGGAGGAGGAGGAGGAGGAGGAGGAGGAGGAGGAGGAGGAGGAGGAGAAGGAGAGGAGGAGGAGGAGGAGGAGGAGGAGGAGGCATCGCTCCATCGCTCGATGCCCCGTCCAGACGGCACAGGCGGGCCCTCGGCAGCACCTGAAGGCCTGGAAGTTCGAGCCCTCGGGCCGCTCCTTTGCGGGCGCCTCGGGCGGCGCGCGCGCGCCCGGCGGGCCGTCCGCAGCGCCGGCTCTGGGCCGGGTCGACCGCTTCGCCCTCGGAGGAGGGAGGAGTGAGGCAGGGAGGTAGGGAGGGAGGGTAGGGAGGGAGAGGAGGAGGGAGGGAGGGAGCGAGGGAGGGAGGGAGGGTAGGCAGGGAGGGAGGGGGGGAGGGAGGGAGGGTAGGGAGGGAGGGGGGGAGGGAGGGAGGGAGGGAGGCGTTCCAGTCTGTGCTGTGCCACCTCGTCGCGCGTGGCGACCACCCGCTGGGCGGGGCGCGCCCGCTCAGAGCAGAGCTCAGGGCGTTCAAACTTTGGCGGAAGGCCCCGTTTGAGGCGGCGCAACACCTTTCCCACGCTCGCGGAGACAGTTGCCCGGCACACGCGCAGTCCTGCACTCCCCTGTGCGGGCCGTGTGTGGCGGTTACCCCCCCCTCTCACCCTAATTAGGTGCACGCGCCTCAGCTGGGCACGGCGCCGCCGTGGCGCTTGATCGCTCGCTCTGCGCGCGCGTCGCTAAGAAAAAGCAGCACCTTTTCCCCAGCATGGATTCCGAAGGGTTTGTCGACTTGTCGCCGATCGACTTATGGGGACCGAACCAGATCAATCCAGGCAAATGCAGATACCTCAAGGTACATCCAGGTACATCGAAATACATCTGGGCAGACCCAGGTGAATCCAGAGATCGCTAGGGAAAGTTGGAGCAACTCGCGGCCGCTCCAGCGCGAATCGAAGGACGGCAGAAGTCGTTAAGCGTTTAACGAACGGAGGCTTTTGGAGCTCGCAGAGCGCATCAGTGCAGCGGCACCCGCAGAATTCACAGATAAGTGCACCCGTGTAGGTTGCCAGTTTTTTGAGTCGGGCGCCAGGGCCCGGCAAAAGTAGGATCCATCGCCCCTCCTTCCCCTTTCCGACGGCCCCGGGTCATCATGAGGCGGATTAGCCTGAATTCCTTGTTGAATTAATTACGTCACGGGGCTTGCAGGGGGAAGGCCAACATTCAGAGAAAACGCGCTTCCTGCTAAAATCTCGGGCGCGCAACTGGCATTGACAGACAACAGAACTCACAGCAGCAGCATCATGCGCACCCGGCAGCTGGCACATCTTAACTTCAGGACTTGGACTAAACCGCGAACTCGTAGTTCGGGTGCGCGGAACAGGGTCAGGCTTTCTTTCTGGGAAGTGATAAGCACCTCCTTTAGCACTGCAGGTGGGCGTTCAGCAACTTAGAAGGCCGGCGCACCGGCCGAACACGTGGCCTGGTTTCGGGAGTCTGACACGTGTCTCGCATCGCCGCTGCGCGTCCTGCAAGAAGGTTCGCAGCTTTATTAACATCAAATTCCACGCCGTTCGAACACATGTTAGAACGTTGGGCCTGGGTGGGGTGACCATTAATTACCCCATCGAGCATCAACCGAGCCGCCACTGGCCGTGAACACATGGCGGGACATCACCCAGCTGTCCAGCATGGCGGATCTGGCTCTCGAGCGCCAGGATTCCTTGGAACCCTTCGCCACCGATATGTTATCACAGCATTCTGGGTTTCTGAATGAGCGTTGGGGGGTACCCACCCGACGGGGGTCAACTTCGCCTCGTCGTCGCGAAACGACGGGGGTCGGAGCGCCTTCGGCGCGAGGTGGTTGCCCGCGACAGGGGTCGATGTGGGGTTGTCGGCGGGGGTGACGCCCTCCCGACGCTCATTAAGAAATCCGGAGTAAACTCCCACATGTCCAGTGGTACGCGCAGCCAATTGCTTAACAGCAGACACTTCCACACGCCCAGGTTTCCTGACCGCAGTTGGCAGAGCACTGCCAGCAACACCGACGGATTGTCCATCGGGCTTTGGTGGGCTGTGGCCCATCTACATATCCTGAGCCTCCAAGCTTTATGATACAGACGGACCGACGGCTAAAATCGAGTTCGGTTCGGGGAGGATGCCCTCGTGTTCTTCGTGTTTGTTGGATGTTCCTGTGCACCTTGGGGGAGGCACCCTCGAATAATCCTAGGGTGTCATGTTCCTGCAAGGTGTTAGTTTGGCCTAGCTCCGATTGTACTCTCCACCAAAACCGCAACTATCCCAAACACCTGCGTCAATGTTGGCAGTGCCTCCTGACCACCCCCAGTCCCACGCCAGCCCAGCAGGCGCACGGAGGTGACCACACGAGGCCACACGGGATGGAAGGCCATGCATCCAACAGCAGGAGCGATGAGGTTCAGAAAGGCCTCGGGAATCAGATCGCCAGAGCGCGCGGTAGCTGAATCTGGCAACTCAGCGTTGCACTTAAGTGGCCAGAACCTATGGGCAACCGTCTCGGGCGCACACCCGCATATAGGGCACAGGCCTCTTGTGGCCGACTCGTAGCCAGCCTCAGCGATATGGTCCACAGTCCAGAACGTCGCCGTCGAAACATTCCGAACCATTGCCGCAGGCTCAAAGAGTCTCTTTATAAGGCCCCCTTCAAAACTTTCCGAGGCACAGTAAAAGTTGCTCTGCTTTTCCAAACTTGATCCTAGGTAGTGGTTGGCGGCACCACTCCAGGAAAGCCTTCCACAAACCTTTTGGAGGGCTTGCCAGAGAGCATGAGCGAACGAGGCATCAGTAAGCGTCAAGTTCGTGCCATCAGGGAACTGCCAGTACGCAGGCGAGACAGGCACGCCCTTCAAACCAAGCAACACCCCCAGAGTTGCCGCAATCGGTCCAAGAACCGTCTGCCACCTGTGATTGGTATGAGCGAGCGTGTCTATATGGGCGGCCCAATCTTCAGCAACATGCATGCGCTGCTTGTGTCCCGGATCACACCAGGCATCACGAACCATTGATAGGTGCTCATAGCGAAGCCTAAATTGGTGGCCATTCTTGGCCTCGGGGGTGGACAGAACCCCCACCCTGACACGTCGATGAGTGAATTGTCCGTTTTCGGTTCCCTCGAGGGCGCCGCGGCCGTCATTTTCCAGGCTTGCGTCCGCCAGATGTTGGCCCGAGGTCGTTGTCATGGATCCACGTGTTTTACTAAAGGGGGTTATGTCCATCCCCGATGGCCGCACGCACCAGGGCAATGACGGAGGCTGTGCAGGCCCCAGGGCACCACCAATTCGAATACGTGGCCGCTTGGGCATGCTTGGAGCCTGTTTTTTTTGGGACTCTGGCAAGTTTACTTGCATGGACGGGGGGGGGGGGCTGAGCCTGAAGCAAGCCGCAAACGACTTGCACGTTCGGGGGGGCGCGGAAATCACGCAAGTCGAAAGGCACTTGCACGCTAGTATTCGCTTGAAGAGGGGCGAGGGGGGGGGGGGGGGGGGGGGCGAACGCCATGCAAGTAAACTTGCCTGAATCCCCAAAAAAGCAGGCTCTTGGGCCCGCATCGGCTTGATTAGCCCCAGGAGCGCGGCCCGCAGCCTGGTACCGCCAGGATTTCCAGCCGCCGGAGCCCGAAGGCGGAACGCTTCCCCTGGCGCTGCCAACAGTCCCACTCAGCGAGGAGGAGGAGGAGGAGGAGGAGGAGGAGGAGGGAGAGGAGGAAGAGGAGGAGGAGGAGGAGGAGGAGGAGGAGGCAGCTTCCCTGACAATTCTTGGGGGCCTGCTTCTGCCTCTGCGTGAGTTTAGATGCGAGCCGTTTCCTTAATTACTAGCAGGCGTGGTGGCCCCCAGGTCTCGAGCAGCAGCAGGCTCGGACCGAGTCCGAGGACCAGCAGCACCGAGCTGATAATGAAACAAGCGGCTTGAGCCGAGATGGCTGCACATTAGAGCAGACTTGTCAGATATCGCACAGCCCATACCATCCAACTGTTTGACCAGGTCCATCGGAGAGGGAACCAGATGCCGTACGATCTCCTCCTCTTCTGTGTTCAGGCAGCTAATAGCGCCCGCGTATGCTTGAATAGTGACAGACATTGGATGGGCAGTCGCCGCATCCTTGATGCCATAAACATCTTGTGTGACCTAAGACATCGACTGCAGACAACCAGCAAGAACACTCCTGCCTGGTTCAATGGTACCCGACCGAACCATGTCCACCCACTTCCAGCACTATGGGGGTTCGTGGATGAGAGTGCCCATGTGCAGGAAATGGAGCGGATAGTCCATCTCGGCCAATGAATTGATTAACTTGTGCGGTTCTACTCACTTGAAGAGGCGCTTTCACTTGAAGAGGCGCTTCAGATCCCAGTGCTCTCTGGCCGAGCAGGGGCCTTGGAATCTTACGCGTGCGCGCCCTGGCTTCCTCAGCAGGGCCGCTTGGAGCGCACTAGATCACTTGATGGCAGTCTCCCAGAGATTGGGCCCCTCGCGGGTCCGTAAATCTAGACGATGGCTTCTAGCGCGGCAGTACATTCGGTAAATTGTCGGGCAAGTACGTTTCGGCCGGTCACACTTTTTTAGGGGGGAAGCGAAGCAATCGCATTCTGGAGGATTTGGGGGGACCACGTGACCTGTTGCTCGCACTTATTGAGGAGATGAGTGAACCCCAGAACAGCATCCTTGGGTACCCCAGCCACAGACCTAGGAACCCACAATGATCGACGCCGACCGCAGCCGTGGCCGAGAAACACCTAGCAGCACGCTGGGCATCCGTCGCCTCTTGCGACTCAATGTCCTGAACAACCTGAAAGTCAAGGAGGAGACGCTATTCCAACACCCCCGAGAGGGCATTCCTAATCTCATTTGGGCCCCATCCGAACATCACTCTAGAACGTTTCACAGTTCTCCATCATATGAAATGGGAGTTGTTTAATGCCACAGGGGGCCACTAAAGCTTCAGTGTACTCGCCAAGATCGTATTTCAACCAAGTGGACTCGCTTGGTTCCTTCCTGCAGCGCCTGGAGAAGTCAGTTCTTCGCGTTCGCCTGAAAGGCAGACTGGGTCACCTTCCAGGCAGCACTAAGCAAGCGTGAGATCGCGTCGAAGAGATCGCCCATCCGACCAGCCTCAGTGGGCGGGCAACTAAGCTGGGCACACCACCAACTACACGAGCAAGCGTCTTC